ATTTTCAAAGTATTTTTTATTTTATTAATTATCACTGTTGTGATAATTGCAAATTGCTTAACTATAAAATATATAGCCTAACTTTGATGATCCACTATACATCCTAGTCCAATCAAAAATAGATCAAATATCAAACCTATTTCCCGTCACATAGACTAATCAAAAACCCACTATAACCTATTTTCAATCAAGCCAGGGTATACAAACCCAAAAAAATAAACGAGATGAGAATAGTGGAGGAAAAATAAAAACTACGTGTCCCGGTACTTCTCAATGTAGTCAATGCGCCGCCTGCATTGCCTTTGCATTTGTTTTGTTTTGTTTGCTTTTTCGGTGGTGCAGCAGCAGCACAAGAGCAAGAGCGGCAAGGAGAGCGGCAGAAGAAGAGGCTGCGCGGCAGTGAGGAATCACTTAGCAGGCAACAGCGGGGACACGACGATTAATGCCAGCGAATCGCAACGAATCGCGCGTCAGCGATGCGGGCCTAAGACCTGAGACCTGAGCGAACACGGCAAGCTGGAAGCTGGGCAGGGCCATTGGACTCGAGATTAGCGCAGGATTTGCGCCTGATCAAAAAGACTGAAAGCCTAGAGAAACAAGTAAAAACGCAACAAAAATGAAAAACCAATGTTCTAAATGCCAAACCGAAAGTTTGATACTCTCGTAAGGTAAGTAGAGTTAGGAATTCGTAACTGAGAGAGAGGGAACTCTAGGTTTAAAAGATCTCTAGCTATTAGTTCTGCAGCTTCAAGAAATCTATAGCCAAGAGAGATCTCTAGCTATAACAGTGAGAGCTCAAGATCTATAGCTGCTAGTTCGGTGCGATAGACCATAAAGAGTTCTCTCTTCAGTTATATATATATTGTATAAATATAAAGCCGCAAACTTTTGATTGATTGGCAGATTTATTAAAGCAAACCAAGTCGAATTCACCAATCTCTATTAACCTACATTGAACTACCAATTGCTGTTCGCAACTCTAGCCCAACTTGCAATAACAATAACAATCAAATGAGCCACTCTTAGTGTTCTACTCTCCGTAGACTCTCCTATTTGCTAGGGTATAGAAAATAACAGGAACACAAGTTAAGCCAAGCCAAGCCAATCCAGGCTATGGCTATAGCCATGGCTAGCCTGAGCTGGGCAACAGATAACGACAACGACGACGGCGACGACGACAACGACGACACCTTGCGAAGCAGAGTCAAAGTCAGAGCCATAGCCAGAGCCGGAGGCTGCATGGCTTAGGCTAAGGCTAATGCTAAGGCCCAGAAGAGCAGGCCACAAGTCGTGCAGGAAGCGAGTTTTTATGCAGGCAAAAGGTTTACACAACAGTCTCAGCTCAGTCTCTCTCGTTCTCTTTCCGTCTCTGTCTGTTCGTGTGTCCTACTGTCCATTTGGTCCGTTCTCGGACTTGTCGTCTGCGTCTGCCTGCCTGCCGATGCTGCTGCTGCTGCTGCTGCTGCTGCTCTAAAACCAGTTGCAGGTAGTTTAAAGTAAGCCCAAGCTGTTTGGTTCGCTCATCTTTTGCGGGCTCATGCCTTGCTGCCTCTTCTTCTTCATATTCCTCTGCTGCGACTGCTGCGACTGTTGCTGCCTGTGCAACAGGCCAAAAAGACTGGACTCTACGAACTCTGTGTCCAATATTTTGTGTTTTGTGGCCGAAACGAGCGTTTTTCATTGCCCATTTGGCCCTCCTCTCTACTGCTGCTTCTCCCCGTCTCACTCTCTCTCTCTTTCTCTCGCATTCCCATGCTGCTGCTGCCCGCGTTTCTTTATGTTTGTCTTGGCCACAATGCAGTGAGAAAAATTCGTAGAACTTTGCCTAGGATTAATTGGTTAATCTTCTTGTGTATTTAAGTGCATAAATGGTTTCCGATTTCCACGAAATAAATTATAAACTGATTAATCTGGCGTTCAGTCGATGCTTTGCCTCATTTTTTATTGATAAACATTTACATTTTTATGTTGAATGATAAGCTGGCTTTGCTTTATGATATAATTAACACGCAACATGCGTAGGCGTTGTTGTCAAGCATTTATTGCTCCATTAGCAAATGTTAAATGACTGCATTGTTGCCAAACTTCTGTTAATGGCATTGACTGTTATCATAATTCCTTGAATATGATTTCAAATTTAAGCAATGTAATTTCTTTGGAAAGGGTTAAGCATTGTTGTCATTTTTCATTAGCAGAATTGTAACCTGTTGCCAAATTTTAGCTAGGTCTATTTACATATATATGTATAAATATTTGCTTAAAGTTGTATTCATTTTTGCCAAAGCTCATATTGATCTGATTATTATGATATTATATTATATTATGTTCTACATTCTAAGTTTCAGTGTAATTAGACTCATTAAAGCTCACGATCTGTTGCCAAAATTCAGGGAAAGCTCAAAACATCTCTACACAATTATAAATAATACTACATTAATCTCATATTATATTATTACTATTACATTTCCTACTCTGTTGCCAAATTTCAACTACTACACATATTATTTTAAGCTAGTTCCAAGTTTATATAAGCTTCCAATTTCATGCAATGCTAACAAGCTTCACATAAGCCTCTGCATATCTCCATATGCCTAAACAAAGAGTTTAAACCCATTTGGAAAGTCACATTTTCGAAATGTTTGGCTTAAGCCATTGACAAACTTGAAAAGCTGACGCAATTCAAGTCGCTTCGAATAGTTTACAAAACTGCACATAAAATCAAACAGAAACCCCAAAATCCATTTCCATTAATAGCCAAGAGCTATTGTTTTTAACAATTTCAAGTGAAATTCCAATTGGGATTCCAATTTGAAGCACTTTGACCGATGTTGCCAAACTTCATTAACTATGACACTTGCTCGCATTGCTGCTCGACTTCCTGCCAAAGTAATAGACTACACCTTCTCTCACCTGCTGCTGGCTGCTGGCTGTTGGCTGCCTGCCTGCCAGGCTGCTAACCAACGGCACATAAACAAAACTAGCCTCGGCATCTGGCCACACGGGCATCTAACAACAAGTTCGACATTTGGCACTTAAATTTAACGCTTGATTGCATTTACAGTGCGGAGTGCCGAGTGGCCCAGGCTATATATTAATATAGTTTTTCTCTGAGCCAGTGCAGCTGACTGCGACGACCCAGGCCACAGAGACCAGGAGACCAGGAGACCAAGAGACCGACAGACCGACCGTCAGACGGACCAGACCCGACCAGAGCATGATGATTGCTTTTGAAAAGCCAATCCAACGTCAACGACTCTATTCTGCGGGTTTCTGCTTTAAGCCAGAAGGCCTAAGCCAAGCCGGCTTCTTTCTCCTTTTAAACAGCTTTTCACGTTTTGCCCCATTCTTCTAGGGCTTGGGGTTACCAGAGAGGGCGGGCAGCGGCGGTACGAACGACGACGATGCTGCTTACTCTCCTCCACTTGTGGCACATTTCGTTGTCGTCTTTATGCGCTGCACAACTTCCTTGTGCCTACTTTTAAGCACTTTTACTCTATGCCTAACCCGACCCTCATCGCCCCTCCTCCTGCTCATTCCGCTCCTCCTGCTAGGCGTCACTTAGCGTGTGCCAGTTTTTTGTTTTTTTTTTTTTTTTCTTTTTCGCTAGCTTCTTTTGGTGTTTACCCAACACTTTTGCTCTCCCTCTCTATCTTGCTCTCTCTGTCTCTGTCTCTCTTTCTGTCCCGCTGGGCGTGCAGAGCCGGAAATGCCGTTTTACACGTGAATGAAATTTGTATAAAATTGAAACGTAATGCGCAGCGTTGCCAAATTTCAGTTCAGCTGTCAAAAACAAGTCAAAGAATCAACCGTTACAAGCGTTGCACAACTCGTTTAGCAACAATTAATGTAAAAATTGTAAAAATGCAAATCAAAGAAGGTTGGGAAAAACTTTTGCCCGGCGAACGGCCGCGAGCCAAAACAGAAAAGAACAAAAAGAAACAGAAAACAGCTGGAAAGGGGAAATCGGGGGAACGGGAACAGGCGAGCAAGCAAGCTTGTTTAGAATGGGTGGGTAGCGGAGCATATTTAGAGAGCGAAAAACCACCCTAACTAGGCACAAAGGACGAAGGACGACGCGACGCCTGATGTTAATGTTGACGCTGCGACGACAGACCGCATACAAAAAACGTATATTTGTACATCGAAAGGGGGTAAAGAGTGCATGCAWGAAGAGTATAATAATAATAACAAAACAGAGGCCCATGTCTAAAGGACTGCACAGAGGGAAAGGTCGCCGCCAGGCGCAAGAGGCATTGAACCCTAGAGTTACGTGACAGGACTCTTTAGTCTAGCATGAAGAGCTAACTCCGAATGGGAAAACAACTGGATTTACTATATGAAATATGGTCTAAAGAAGGAGGAAGCAAAAGTGTATAGGTTTATATGATATAGCAAAAATTGGGAATACTTTCATCAAAGACAGAGAAAATGTAGTCCTATGATATATTCAATACATATTCCTTTCTATGAATCTGCCCTGCTTTAGCTCAGTTGGCAGATTGTAATATCCTACACCATACCATATAGATAATCTATATAAATATCAAACCATATCATCATTATATAATCAATCAATTTTTTGTAATCTCTATCAAAACCACAATGTTATGCCATATTCAATATATTATAATTTATTTGATTATTGTTTATCATTGTGCATATTATAATTATTCCATATAATAATATTATATTAGATAATCTCATAGGAAAAGATTTTGACTTACCAGACAACTCCGAATGCACCGTAGCCAATTGGACGATCCGGCTGGACATCCTGTGGCACCGCTGGCGGTTGATAATATGGAGCCGCTGCGGCCAATATTGCGCTGGCGCCCTGTGGCGCACCACCGGCAGCACCACCCTGTACCAGTGACATCGAAACGCTCATCGAGCTACGCGGCGCAGCAGCTGAAGAATTTGGGCAGCTGTTGATGCTGCTGCTGTTGCTCTTCTTAGTGGTGGTGGCGACGGCGGCTACGGCGGCGGTGGCAGTGGCGATGTTGGTGGTGGTGGTGTTGGTAGTGGTGGAGTAACTTAGTGCTGTGTGCTGGGGATTAGCTGGCGTTTGATAGCTATAAAGTCGTTGCTTGCTGTTGTTGTTAGTGCTGTTGATGTTGCCGTTGCTGCTGGTGTTGGTGGTTGTGGTGGTGGTGATGCTGCTGCTGCAGTTCGTGGCGGTGGTGGTGGTGGTAGTTGGATGGGAGAAATGGTGTTGACTGCTCAATGGATGCCGCTTGGGGCCACTAATGGCCGCCATTCAATAGTTGCCCATTAGAAGTTTGTAATTTTGGATTTCTGTTATTATTGTTGTTGCTACGCACACTTTCTTGTTGTTGTTGTTGTTATTTAAATTTTATTTAACACATTAAAAATGAATTGATGGAATTTAATTTAAATTCTGCATTTTACACACGCTTTTCTTTGATTTTTATTCTGCTGTTGTTGCTGTTGCTGCTGGCGACTGCAAGAGAGAGAGAGATAGAAAAATAAAGTGGAAATAGAAGAATTTGTGATTTAGATTTTTAGGCGCATTTTTTGGCAGGCAAAGAGAAAAAGGCAGACCGAAAAAAAGACGAAAAAGTGCCGTTAGCTGCGGCCGGGGCGCGTCTTTGTTAGTGTGCGCGCATGTATATGTATGCGTGAGTCAGTGAGCTAGCGCAAGAGCCAGAGAGAAAGAGAGAGAGCAGCCCGGAGTAGGCAAACAGAAAAAAGAAACTAAAAGTGGACTATGGAGTTTATTCCTATTTTTTTTTCTTTTTTTTTCAAATGAGTCAAATTTTTACATGGCAGCGCAGACAAAAAATGACGAACAAATTTCTTATTTAATATGTGCACATGTTTTGCAATAGCAACAAAAAGAGAGAGCGAGACGGCGTGCGCTCTCACAGCGTGTTTAGCGTCAGCGTCGCGCACTTGACACTTTTTGCTGTCGTTGCGGCTCGACACCGATGCCGATGCCGACTGAGACGCTGACGCTGACGCCAAGGCAACGCTCATGGAAAACAATGCACAGAGCAATAGCAATAGGAATAAAAAGAAAGAGTGCAATGAAATGCACAAAATGTGCGGCTTTTTGTATAACACACACATGGAATTTGGCAGTTTTTCCCAGCATTCGAGCTTACCTTTTAACAAAATGCACAATTATTGAGCGACGACTGCGGCGGCGACAGAGGCAACGGCAGCGAAAATTATTGTTGATGGCAACGGTGGGGATCTAAATATGCCGACTGCGGCGACTCTTCCGCATTTGTATATATGAATGTGTGTGTGTTTGGTTTTGCGTGCGGCTTGCGAATGTGTGTGTGCGTGCAGCGTCGTTGGCGGCGGCGGCGGCAGTGTGAGAGAGAGACGATGTGAAATGTACAAATACAAATTCAAAGCGCGGCGCGAGCTGAGACGGCAACACAGTGGTTCACAGCGGAACTGCAACAACGACTAAAATGCAGCAAGTCTCACGAATTTGTTATTATTTGTGTTTTATTAACGCGTACACACATTCATTTAAAGACACAGCCACACACACAGAGAGAAAGAGCGAGGCGAACGAGCGAGCGAGAGAGAGAGCGCGAACGAGACCGACGGCAATCAATTGAATATATTTTGTATTTGTTGTAATTTTTTTTATTTGTGCATTTGGTCACGTTTGTTTGGGGGAGCACAGAATATTTACTGCATTATCTTTCTATCACACTACCCGAAGTTTGATAGGCAGTAGCGAAATTGCTTTTGCAATACATGTGTGTGTATGTATTAAATTTTTCCTCTGCCTTTTGCATCAAACACACGCGGCGTCTTCTTACCGATTTTATGCGTGTCGTTTATGCGAAAGTCGTGATAGGACTGACAACAACAAAAATTTCTGGCAATGTGACCGGGCTGCTCGGTCTGGTCGCTGTGTGACCGAGTCAATTCGTTTTCGGTATTTACTCAAACAGCTGAGTCTTAGCAACATGTTGCGTGAGTAGAGCAGTCTGCTGTTATGCTGGCAGCGAATCTTAAATATGTGAAACATTAGATGACTTTGCTGTTTGCTCAATTCATGTAAATTTATATGTTATTTTGAGTATTTTGATGTACACCTCTAATTCATATTTATGTTTTGTAGACATAGCGCGCTTGTTGTAAATGTTGCTGCAACATTAGGAGCATAGCAATATGTGTGACCTTAAAATATTATTGCATTTGCGGCCTGATGTTGAACAGAGCTATGTTAAGTTAACATAAACAGCTGTTGGTCTCGATAGCTCTTATCGGCTTATAAAATGTGCGCTGTATGCTAAGGATTTTGTAAACAAATCAAATTGACCAGAATGGAGAGAGAAACAGAAAGCTTGAAGGAGTTTCTTACGGATCTCGTTGTGCCGCATCACCGCTGCAATGTGAACATCATACCAGATCATATTACCATGCTGCACGGCACGAAGTCAAAGAAGCAACACTCACGCAAACGTCGCGCTCACAAATCGAACAGCCTGACGAGGCGCGAATATGCAGAGCTCGGACTCAATGCTCTGCCCACACGTCAAATGCGTTACGAGCAGGCACTACCGCTGCACAAGCTCTGGCGTGGCTACATACGCGAGCATCTGGGTCTAAAGGAAGGCGAAGAGGTGCCGCAGTTGCATGAGAAACGCTACGACGAATTTAGCCGGCAATTGGTCAAAATGGATTTGCATGGAGCCAAGCTGCGAGTGCACCAATCTAAATGCCCCACTCTCGTGGGCCTCAGTGGAATATGCGTCATGGACACAAAGAACGTACTGAAGCTACTGGGCGAGGATCACCGCGTGCGCACGATACCCAAGAGCGAATGCGTCTTCAGCCTCCACGTGGACAGCATGGATTTCATCATCTTCGGACAGCATTTGAATATGCGACCAGCAGAGCGAAGTGTGAAGAAGATTAAAAACTATGTGGAGCCATTCATGTAGCACAAATTGTAAAACATTTAATTTAAGCTTTTCCTTTGCTTTATATAAAACCGTACGCCCGAAATATCGCGACATATTTATTATATTATATAGATATATATATGTATAGTTAGTTCAAGATGCTGTTGCTGTTGTTGTTGTTGTGGTTSTTTGTGAGAGCATTTACGCAGGCGGCTTTGTCATGATGATCACAGCGGAGGGCACAAGGCCCAGCACCTCGAGCGGCTTCTCATAGTCCTCGTCGGCAAAGATCTTGCGCGGAAATGTTGTCATCAGTGCGAATGGAGTCTCAATGCCAGTCTTCACCTGGATGAACACACGCACAGCGGACAGCGGCTCCTTCACATTGAATTCGGAAGCCAGTGTGGAGCCATCCTGCAATCGCACCTGGATGCGTGTCTCCGTGTACTCGCGCGGTGGAGACTTGACGCCAGTGGGCGTAGTGGCTGTCGTAGTGGAGCTGACAGAGGGTACGGCGTCCGACAACTGAGCAGCGGGACTGTTATGTGCTTCCCTATAAAAATTATTGAGGTTAGCCGAAAGTTTTACATTAGTTAAATGAGGTTTCCACCTGGCTTTGCGTGCCGCTTTGTCCGCTTCGATCTGAGCACGAACACGATCGCGTGCCGCCTTCTCCTCCTCCTTTTCGCGCTTGCGCTGATCCACGATTTTCTTCATCTCGATTTCCTCCATGCGACGGCGTGCCTCTGTCATGTCTTTGCCAGAGCGTATACGATTACGTTCACGCTCCAATGCATCAGCCTTCTCGCGCTCCTCTCGCTCCACGCGCTTCTGCTTAAGCTTCTCCTCGATCAGAGCTAACTGTGCCTTCTTCTCTTCCTCGGTGAGCGCCTTCTTCTCCTCGGTGGATTCGGAAAAGTTGCTGTGACCTGTCTTGGCCGCATGGTATTCTACCTCAGTCTGATCCTTGAGCACCTTGCCACAGTCATCGCATTTCAGAGATTTGGCTACGGCTCCGCCGTCGGCAGCACCGCTGCTGCTGGGCGCTGTGTCTTCGCCGGAAGCTGCGGCTGCAGCAGGAGCTGCATCGCTTGCCGCCGCAGCGGGTATCTCTTCGTCACCATGGGCCAACAGCCATTCCATGGCCATTTCGACGCCCTTGTGGCTAGTTACTTTCAATGCATATTCACTAGAAACAGCCAAATAAAAAAATGTTTAAATTACCGGCGAAAAAATATTGCAGCTTAGACTCACACTCGATCTCTGGGGAAACCCATGTCCATTAAGGTTTGTATGTCGCTCATGTTTGCTGTTTAATATTTGAGTATATATGATTTTTTAATAAACCTGTAACTTCGTGCAAATGTTTAATCTTCTCTCAATATTTTCCCCTGCAATAATGACACACAAAAACAATGTCCCGTAGCTAGTGTTGCACAACGTTGAAAAATGTCTATGGTTACTTGAAATAATTAAATTTTCTTCAAGTTCAGAAGTAATGAGAGCGAAATGTAAATAAAATAGTGAGATAAATATAACGCAAAATATCAAAGCCTAAGAAAAGTCAATTTGAAAATTATTCAGCTCAGTCGTAAACTATTTTCGATAAATGTATCGCTATCGATATCGGGGCAGCTGGTTCCAATTGTCAGCTGCGTCGTTGCAGCTCTCACTCCGAGTAGCGTCATAATTTATACATTTTCTGCGAGTTCATGCTTACCAAGATGTCGCCTCAAAATAAATTGAAAAAGATGATCGTTAAACTACCACGCCATCCACTTATTATGGCAAACAGTGATTTCGTATATCAGGAATGCATGCAAATACGAAAATGTCGCGTCAACTTGGAACGCATCAAAGGACAAACAGCAGCAGCAGCAGCAGCAGGACACCCGTTTCCCTTGAAGTCAAAACCGAAGCGTTGCTGTGTACGTGTGGCACGATTGCCCGATGTGGAACGCAGCGAGATATCCGTGACGCCAGCCAGCTCCATAGTATGCTCGGATTTTGATGATGGTAGATTTGCATAAAGTTTGCTACTTAAAATTAGTCTATTTATAGTTTAAATATTTCCAGATTCTTCTACTGAATAGATAGCAATCATGTAAAAGACTCGACAAACGGTAATTTCATAATATCCGGGACCCCACACTCACATTTTGTAATTCATAAATTTAAATAATTCTAAAAATACATTTGTAACGAAATAAAAGTATACATATTGTTGTTTTTGTTGCTTGAGAGCAAAAACGATAACACATCAAAGGGCAGTATCGATAGACGTCTAACAAAAGTTTCATCACTATACCATAGATGTCAGGCAGAAAGGAAAAATATTTGTGAAACAGCCAAATTATTCGGTAACAAAACAACATTCCAGGCAGCAAACAATTATGAATTGGCACACGGGCAATATAGCTGAAGCTGTGGCTGAATCCAAAGCCAAAGATGCCATCTTCGTTGTGTACATTCAAGGTAAAGAGATTGACTTTTGTATTTGCAATTTAAATTTCACCACGTCATGTTTGCTAATTGAATTTTGTAATCGCTCAATGAAGGCCAGAATGAGATGACAGCCAATCTGGATAGATATCTGGATGATCCACGAGTCACCGAAAAGTTGCAGACACAAGATTTTGTTGCTGTTAAAATTCAAGGTGATAGTGCAAGCTACGCACAGTTTATATCACTCTGTAAGTACAGTGAAACCTCTTTATTGTGGCCGAGTTTTGACTTATAGCACTTGTATACTCTTAGACAAAGTGGTACCTGTGCCATCGATCTTCTTCATTGGTAAATCTGGCACCCCACTGGACATTGCCACAGGAATCGTTAGCGGTGTCGATGAGCTGTTGATAAAAATCAATAAGGTGCTTCTCCTGTCCGGCAAGCAAAAGGTGAATGCCCCAACTACCAGTGCAACAGCTAAAGATGCTCAGGGGGAGCAGTCGCGACGAAAAATCGCCGGCGATGATAGCGATCCCAGTGACAATACTCTGGTGGCCCCAGTTCCATTGGCTCAGAAATCTGTACCTGCAGCAGAAGCTGTGGAGCCTGTGCCTGAGCCGGCTGCAGAAGAGGAGTCAGAGACAACAGATAAATCAAATATGACATCAGATAAGCAAGCTGAGGAGCTTAACAACGATCCTGGGGCAGCTATGAGCAGCCAATCGGCCGCAGCTAAGCAAAAATCTGAGACAGAAATGAAAGTGACTCAACCATTGAAACATGCGCCAGCTGCGCAGAAAGAAGTCCAGGAAGAGCCGCAAACAAAGAAATCTGTTGCAGGCCTTTCCAAATCGTCAAAGAAATTGCAGCAGCCAGCTGCAGCTAACCAGGAAACAGCAAGGGAATCAACTAAGGAACTAGCAGAATCTTCTGCTAAGCAGCAATCGGAGACGGTATCTAAGCCTGTGGAGGCAGCTGCTGCTGAGCCAAGTGCTCAGCTGGAAGCGACATCTTCCCCCAAGCCAGCTGAGCCAACGGCAGCGGCCTTGTCAGCGGCAGCGGCAGCTGAAAAGCGTGCAGCAGCTGCAGCTGCCGCGGCCGCAGCAGCAGAAGGAGAAGCAGCCACCTCGGCGGCTGCCGACACAATGGCCACAGAGATTACATCTACAGCGGTGCCCGGCCCTGGCTCGCCACTGACGCCCACCGAGGAAACGGCGTTGCGTGCGACAATAAACGTGCAACAGCAGGTGGAGAAGCGTAAGAAAGAGCGTTCGGACGAGAAGAAGCGACGCGATAAGGATGGCGAATTGCGGCGCCGTCGTGAAGGACGTGAAGCTCAGGAGCAACAACAAGCTGCCCGGGAGCAGGAGTTCAAGTCTATGCAAGTGAGTGGTCAGAAATTGTCCACTGAATGCCAATAGCAAATTTAACTAATCTTTCTATATGTTTTTTAAGGAACGCATTCGACGCGAACGCCAACAGGAGCAGGCGACACGTGAACGTATCCTGGCTCAAATTGCCGCCGATCGTGCCGAGATGGCCAATCGAGCAGCCATGGCTGCGGCGGAAGTTCCTGTGACAGCTGCGCCAAGCCCAGCCGTAACGGCAACAGCAACGATCACACCCGAGCAGTCGCATCATTCCACTGTGGAGGAGACACGCCTGCAGATCCGCTTGCCCGGCGGACTGATTCGCATCAAAGATTTCCCAGCCATCGAGCCATTGGCTACAGTGCGTAACTACGTGCGCGAGGAGCTGCTCGCCAGCAGCAACATACGCGAATTCACACTGGCCACCAGCTATCCGAGGCGTGAATTCAAGACGGAGGATGAGCTGAAGTCATTGAACGATTTGAATCTGGTGCCCAATGCAGTGCTATTGGTGCTCGGCAGCAGCCAGGTCAACGTTGTGGTGCGCAGCCGGAATAATATGATGAACATCCTAACCAGTGTACTCTGGGCAATCCTGACACCGGCCGCCGTGGCTTTTGACTATATCAATAAGTATGGCTTTCAACGTCTGCGCGTGAATTTCATGCAGATGATTTCCAATATTGGCTGGCGCCGGCGACAAGAAGTCCAGGCTCCTCCCGCTGCCCAGGTCGGAGAGTAAGTGCCACTGCAGTATAAATTGAAATACCTATTTAATTGCTGTCTTCCTTAGTATCGGCTCTCGGCGCAACATGGATATGTTTATGCTGCGCACAACCAGTGCACCCGGCCTGCAGCGTGCCAATCCGCAAAATGCGGTCGGAGGACCGGATCATCAGATTAAGCCAACGGAACTGTCTAACAATGGTGCGGCTCAGGCGCAGGACTTGGCACAGCAACGATCGGGCATCTTTAAGTCAACTCCTTTTGGCCAGACCAATATACGTCGTTTGGCCGACACAGCTAAGGACGATGACGAGGATAAGGCCACCTACAACGGCAACTCGACACAACAGCAATAAGCGCGAAGCAATTTTACATATATATATACACATATATACTTATACATAACTAGTTAAAAATGTTCTCTTTATCCACATTCACAGCTTCAAGATATGCAGCCTTAAATTATATAAATAGCTAAATACAAAAGTAATGGAAATTTAGAATATTCAAATTTAAAGTCACATTTGTTTACTTGCTGTTTCAGTGTGTGTTTATGTGTCGGTGTCCTTTATTGAAACAATCGATTAAATTATTAACAAACACAATTTCGTGATTAGGTATCAAAGGATTCGATAAAAGTATACAATTTTTTTTTTTCTTTAAATACATAATTTGTTCTAGACTACGTTTATGCGTAGTTGCTTAAATGTGATTGTGAGTGCTATAAAACATATTAATAATAAAAAAAATGGTTCATGTATTTTCTATTTATATTTTGATATTGATAATCACAAACAGTTGCATACACAAAAACGTCTTTTTGATATAAAGAGATATACATATAGTTGTGGTATGGTTTACACAATATATAGGTATTATCATCATGTGGCTTACATAGTCACTCAGCTCAATTTAATACAATTTACCCTCAAGTCCAGATATACATAGTTCATACATGGTTTACACGATCATGCAACTTGGGCTGATGGAATCGTGATATGATTTACATGATTAGTCATCTTTTTGTTTACAATTTAGCCTCAAGCCTGATACATAGCGAAATATTATATGGTTTTCTTATCAAGAAATATATGTATGTACTTTCTCTGATATGATTTGCACGATTCATCAAAATTTAGCCTCAAGTTCAGGTTGCTTTTTGCTTCTAATACAGTTATAGTATACATATAAAAAAAATAGTGTAATAAGATCTCATATGCTTCTTTTTTGTTGTGGATTATAACAATTGATGCAAACAGAGGAAATACTCGAAAGTAGAGAGACGGATGGGGTAGTTCTTTACAGTGTAAACCACATGAGGAACTGCAACAGTTTGTAGACGTTGACCAAGGGGAATTTCCACTCGCCCTTGCGTTGCAGTGGCGGCACCAGGCTAGGATAATGGACAGGATTGCTGATGTGGCAATTGGTGTTCACGGTGCCACCTGGATATCTGACCGCCATCACATCGCCCAGCTTGATGCCATCGCAATCGATCAGCTCCAGGGACTTGTTGAAGCATATGCGTATCTCCGATAGGTAGCTAATGCCGTGTTTGCCATCGTATAAGCAGTGGATGGATGGATTCTTGCCCAGGCCGCGCACCAAAGCGTTGTTCAAAGCAATCACTGTATTGTTCGAGTCGGGATGTATGCCAGAGTCATCCAAGATCTTGGACATGACGTACTGTTCGCGCCAATTCAATCCCTGACCGAAGTACTTCAGCTCGTTGTTTAGCGCCTCAAGGGCAGCAGCGCAGGTGCCATGCTTCAGCCATTCGTGCTTCCAGAGGTAATCCTGCGACGCTTCTCCTTCCAGATCCAACCAGTAGGTATTCAAGCGATCCATAATCGATTCCAATAGCTCCGGGTCGAATTCGGCGGACTTGTTGCAGAAGTTCGGTCCGAATTGGCCCATTTTGGTCGGCCAGATGCCGTGGATGGTCCAGAATTCCTTCTTCTGCGGCAGGGTGCACTCGTGCGATGGATCCTCCTCCCTCCAATGATAGCACGTAGTCACAGGCCATTGCTGCGTAAAGACAAGCACATCCCAGCTATGCGGATCCCTGCCTACGAGATTCGTATACAGTGGATAATCCTCGTTGTCCTCATCATCTTCGTCCGAGAAATCCGCAGCGCTGGGCCGCTTCAGAGGTTGCTCAACGGAGCTGCTTGACTCATCCGATGCGTTGGCCAGGGCGACACCCGAATCGGATATTTCATCAAGAGCGCTGAAAATCGAAACGAACCGGAGAAAAAAAAACAATGCCAGCTGTGAGTAATTTGTGGAGGTTATAGTGCGGGCGGCTCAAGATGGGGGCAACCTTGAACTTGATGCCTGCAAGCGGCATATCGAAATATCGATTCGCAGTTTCCCCTTTTACTATAACTGTTTCTATTTTTGCTTACGTTTACGCAAATCTTGCGTAGCAGGAGCAAAGAATAATTTTGCTTATCTTTGTTTAATTTCACAAACATTGTGGGTAATAACTCACCTAAAAGGACTCGTATTTGTCACAGCAAGGCTGCATGATAAAATCGTCAAGGAAAGCAAATACTTTTGCAGTTTCTTCATAATTGACTTTTGTTTTAAAATAACGCAGTTAAGTTATTATATATTATTCAATACAAATATGACGCATTTTACGCAATCTGCGAGCTCAGCACTTATTTGCGTTTTTTAATATTTTATAAGACTTGTTTAGCTTTCTATTCGCAATAGTATGAAAAAAATTTGTAAGTTGTTTTTATGCACTTCTTTTGTTTTTGTTTTTTTCCTTTTTTCTTTTGCGCTGCTATTGGGTTAATAACAGCTGTAAAGGGACTCTGTTAAGTATATTGGCAGTGCTGTAAAAGACGTGACAAGCTACAGTTTTCTCTGCAGTGATGCAAAATACTCTATCGATAAGTTGAAACTATCGCTGAAGGCGGTTGAAAATGAAATTCAAATTTAAACGGCAGTCTGTTTATTGTGTATTTACTTTTATTATATTGTAAACAATATTGAATGAATTCATCATTTAATAAATTATTTGCTGAGAACTTTGGCAGACTGTTAGTATTGCTTACTAATTAATTAACTCTGTAATATATAGAAACAATATTTGAAACACTCTGCTATTTAGAAGTAACGACTTTATCGCAATAGCTGCTCTAATTGAACTTGTTTTCTGATTACCCCTAGAGTGGATTTGTGAAATACGACAGTTTGTCTGCACAAATCGCACAAAATCCCAGTAATGAAACTAAAAAAATCCCTGAGAAGTTTCATTTTTTTTTTTTTTTTCGAAAGATAAGATGCAATTTCGAGTCCACACACACGCACACACACCCGCTTTAATTAGTGACAACGATAATTACACATATTCTGGGCTGGCACAATTGCGCGCTATTTTATCTATGAAATACAAACATGACATGTAGCCAAACACTAAACGACTTCTGTTGAAAGCCCAATGACTACACACGACTACAACAACAACAACAGCAACAGCAACAGCAACAATGACAAGAGGAACAACATAAGCATGAACAACAAAACGATTTTTGCTACTGAAAATTACGACAAGCAATGCTAAGCAATTGATTATTGCTTAACTGTACTTTGGACTTTACACTGATGATCCAACCAAGGCTAGCCAATTAGAAGGGGGAAAACTAGATAAAATATATATATATA